GTGTAATTAGAAGGGGGTCGTTAATTACGGGGAAGGCTGATCGTTCGGAAGACTCGCGATGACAACGAAAGCGGCGTCAGGAGAGACGAAGATGAAGGGTGCTTTAACTTCTAAAAGGCACGTGTCGCAAAGCGATTTTAACCCTCCGCATTTAAACACGCCTCGACGAACCTGTATCGATATAAGGCTACTTATTACGACACGGTTACGTAGGTTTTGTGGTTACACGACACAACGTGGACTGCTTTGTCCTCTCTTCAGCGTTCAGTTCACCTTTGTCGACGCGTGCGTGATCCAGAAGAAGATTAAAAGCGAAGACTTTTACGAGCTCACGCTTGGCTACCATCGAAACCGCGTATCGCTTCCCCATGGATTCTCTGGGATGAGAAATCGTTTCAGAATCCCCTCAATCATATGTATACATGTGGGGTTCAATCTAAAGGGATTCTGAAGTTCGTTCTTTCCATACTGATACGTTATTTCTAAGGTAATCGCATAATGATCTAGAAAATAAGAATCTTTTTTTTTATTTAAGGCACGTAAATTTAGAATCTACTCTTTATTTTTAATTCAAAAATTTCAAAAAATCTCACTTGCATTCCTTTAGTTCTAATATATTTTACAATTAATAGTTGATAAACTTTACTGGTAGTATAATATTGTTAGTAGTTGATCAATTTTATTATTATAGCTCGTTTACGCCTTTTAATTTGACTAGAAAGATAAAAATAGTACGTGGTCCTAATTCAATGTCCAGGGGGGGTTGTAGTGTCGCACGTGGGCAGGAAGGGTGTGTACTTTGTAGGCTGAGGCCGTGCACAGGAGGAAATTGTGCCTATTATGGCGAGAGGGAGAGGGTGAAAATAACCCATGTTCGACTCGTTGAACGAGTTTCTTCGTCAACATGCTGAACGACACGGCATTGTGCATCGAATAGCAACCCTAAATCCGGCACGTGTGCCCTCTCGATCAAACACGATGGCTTCGAAAACTGACTCACAGCGTTTGCTATAAAAGAGCCAGCTCGAGCAGCGGGGGGGCAAGAAGTGTTTTGCATACGAAATAAACCGAGCGGAGGCGCGCACGGTAAAATATTCGTCGCGTAATATCCAACGTGTAATCCGTTTGCTTATCGCGCACCACCCTCGTGCTGGCTGCCTTATCGCAAGCGGACCGCGCCGACGATGCGCTTTTAGGCGAGCGCGTGAAATAATTGGCTTAAAGCCTGTGGTACTTGCTCCGAGCCTGTTGTTCGCTTAACGTCTGACGGTTTTTACCATCCTCCTTGATTTATTACAATGTGGTATTAAGATAATATTGTAACATGCTACAGATACTGTTTATACAATATTATAACAATTTCATGAATGCAAAATAATTCCCTCTTAAATTAAAATCTTTTAAAGTCATTCAAGAAGTGAAGAATGACCCATATAGGAAAGAACATGAAGCAGAGTATCCCATGATTTACCATATAAAGCTCACCGAACAAATAACTCGAGGCAGGCTTGTTTAGTCTGCTTTTAGCCCAGTTTCCGTCTCTTATTTATAGTTCACGATTCTCGTGAAGTCTCAGAATTTATTTATCCGCGGAAAAGAAATCATAACTGCTCGTGAGGCGTTTGCATACAGGAAGTACCGCTAAATAATTTTGAATTTACTTTATTTTTTGAGAAAAATAGAATCTCTCGAATCGAAGCCTCTGGATTAAATTTTAAGGCACAGGGGATGAAAGAATAAGAAGACTATGACAATTTAATGCGGATCACCCTGTATATTACAGATCGCCTGGAGACTTAGCGAATCACCTTCTGCTTCGCGCATATCCAGCTCACATAAATATTTGTTTAGAACGCGATCAGAATGTAGATCGATTCGAAAATATAGTCCCTTTGGTCGGGTTGGAATTTCACTGGGTGCCTCTTGGCAGATATTAAATTCCACTAGCATTGGGATATGTATAGGTATAGTTTGCGCCACCTCGATCGGATGCCTGATAGGTTATATAGCGCGTCTCGTTATTGGAATCATTCATTTTATTGCTGGCTGTAGGATACTTAGGAATGATTAAAAATATTTAAAAGGCAGAGGTATTTTTCAGCCAGAGTACCATGTGAACTTTTATTTGAATAGTTCATACAGTTTATAATATTCGTATTTTAATAATTATTAAGAATCATTTTAGTCAAATCAGTTCTACTATTTGTGTAGTACGAAACTCTATTATTTATATTAGGAAGAAAATGTTAATTTATAAAGTGTTTCTTATCAATAGTGGAACACTGTATACGTAACCACCTGGTTGTTACAGTACATTACAAATATTAGCGTCTACTTATCTGTACCTAGTTGTCTCATTTATTCCTGTAACTAATGTACTGACTCGCATTTATCAGTTACATATTAACATAGTAGTTCTGCAACCTCACTGCCATTCTACTATTTTATATCTGTTATAAATGTGTAACAGAACGATACGATAGTTGATAATAATATTTAAAAATGATTAAAAGCAATTTAGTAGTTTCTCCATATTTCTCTTCTAAAATGAAACTAAAATTTGCTGGCTTTTTATTTCGTTCTTCCAATTTCATTTCAGCGTTTAATTAAATTCCCTCGGGCTACGCTCGCAATTTAAACATTCTTCGATACAAGCAAATACAGTTAAAATACAGTCCATATTTAAATTCAAACGAATGATAGAGGAATAAAAATTTCTCCTTCTGACAAAAAAAAACATACCTTCAACCCACCAATTTTGGCAATAAAGAAATTTATTTCCTTCAAAGCTTCAAAATAGCTTTCAACTTTCAGCTTTCAACAAGAACTGACAAAGTGTATTCGGTATTATTCACCAATTTATTTCCCTTGACACGGCACCACCCGCGTAGCAGTAGGAAATAATTTCATTCTCGGCCGTGTACAATGCTGAATGCCCATGGGCCCTCTAATGGGAATGTTGGAGAAAACGGTCTCGTGTTTGGAATAACACGCCGCGACGCATAAGCTTGTAGATAATAATACAAGGAAACGGTGTGGCGTATGCGCTGTACAATGAGATACGAGGGCCACGAATGGATTCTGCCGCGGACTGGTATCAAAATGTTTGTGCAGGTGCATCCGCGCTTGCACAGGTATGCAGTCGGCCCTGCAACCCTCGCGTACACGCAACAAAGGATACATTATGAAGACACAATGATGCTGCATAGAAGTATGCTCAGTGTGCAACCGTGGCCAGCAATGCGAATTTTAATCGAATTAAGCCGACCGATCACCGCCGCTTCATGAGTTGCCAAAATTATTTTGGGGGTAATGTTCAACCAACGTTGAAACACGCGTTGCTAATGGAACCCGCGAACTATGCCTTCTGCGGCTTCGCGAGTATTTTGAAGTTAATTTGCTTATACTCCCATGAAATGGTCTTCATTATTATTCAAATAAACATTTACAGTAAATTCTTAATACTTTATTTGTCGTTCAGATGAAATGGATAAATAATATTGCTTTAAAGCTGAATTTCATTTTAAACTGTAGTAGTTAATTATTCGCTTGCCATTTGCGCTAGAAAGATTACATCAAACGATTACCGCCTTCATGCAAGTTATCAACCGCATCAGCACCTTTCTTCCCATATTTCCATTCTAAGGTAACAGAGCCATAGGTGATCTCAATTAACCTTCATCTTTATTTCATTTTTATAGTAGAATTTATTCAACGGTGTGCTTATTAAAAGCTCGCGTGCCATTAATTAGCATAATTTAATCCGTGCCGGTGCAATTTCGTACTCGAGCAGCAATGTAGGTCGTCGCAGCGTCTAATTGAGAAGGCTAGTCGCATAATTACTCGTATAGCAGAGGTACGTAAGGTACGAGCGCCACGACGACGCCATAAGATGACCTGCTTCGAATCGCTTTAGCCATAGAACCGTAGCTTCGAAACCTGTCAGTTCGAAAGGTCGTCAGTACCTGTTCGACTGGCCTGACGTTTGTACCTTTTATGGAGCTAAACTGCATTCTTCAACGACTTACCGTCCGATTCACCGGTTCGATCCTTCTCAAAATATTACGGGTTCGATGGATCTTCGCGTGATCCATATTTATAATCATTTAGGTACAATTGTAGACTCTTTACTTATTGTATTCTACTCATTGCATATACTTGGAAATTGGTATTGCAAATAGAGCTCTTAGCTTTCTTGCAAAAGATTTTTGGGAGATTTCAACTGGTTGGAATTATTTTGTAGAAACATGAGAGTAAGATCATCCAGTCAAAATCACGAGATGACATCATTGTTTGCCCCGAAAAATATATGGCGAAGAAACTGTTGTCATCTGGGCAAGGCACTTTAATTGAAATCACTTGAAAGCGAGTGAAACAAAACGCGGTTTCTTGGTAAACGAGTCACGTTCATTGTGACCTACGCTTCGTCTGAAACGTCGCCATATCTCTTAAGAACGTTTTGCTTCCCGAAATAGCAACGCGAGCTGCAGAAGCGGCTAGGATTTGATAGGATTCAATTGATTGGAAGGACACGTTCATTTATCCATTGTGGGAAGAAAAGAAACTTGATGGATTTTAATTCTGACAATTCAGTTACGATTACGTACTTTTGAAACATTAATCCGTTTTTAGAGCGAAGGTCACAGGTTTTAATTACCTTTTAGCATGAAATATTAAATTTCATGTTAATTACTGCCGTGATGTATTATAATTGTAATTATTCAGATTACGGTCGTTTCACTTCCCAATTTAAATTTTCCACTTGATATTTTACGAAATTAATGAAATTAATTACTGCTACTTATTGTAAGAATTCCCAAAAAATTTTCTGAAATTTAAAATATGGGTATGCATAAATCAAACAATTTTAGCATACTTGTTTTATTTCTTTTATTCACCTGCATTTTTACACGAAACGATAAAATACATGGTCGCTGATTAAACGAAATACGTTAACAAGAAGATTAATGCATTAATTGTTTCCTTTTATTCTGTTTCAGCAAAAATGTGTAAAAGCACGTGCCCTTTACGATAACATCGCAGAAGCACCGGACGAGCTAGCTTTTCGTAAGGGTGATGTTCTTACGGTACTGGAACAAAATACCGCCGGACTCGAGGGTTGGTGGTTGTGTGCTTTGCGAGGTAGACAGGTAATTAACCCCTTCCTAACACATTTTTCCACGAGAAGCTAATTGTTTTATTCAACAGAAATATGTATCTTAACTGAAAAACTTATTTTAGTTATTAAAACTAATTATAAAGTAGCTTGGTGGCTCACCATTAAATTACCGTGGAATACTTTCTTCTTTCTAATTAATTAAAAAGTTCGTAACTTTTTTAATAATGGGTAAACTGTCGCTTGAAAATGTACCTTGAGGACATGACACGGTATCATCAGAGAAATCGGACATACGGCTGCACCGTTACTGTCATTGATCTAAGATCTTCATCTATAGGGTCTCTAACATGGTACAGAGTTAGAACGAGTTTGAAAGTGCGACCTAACTGGGGTCGTTTCCGCGTCCGACATCTGTTGGAAAGATTTCTGTCTGGGTCCACGACCTACGGCAATCTCATTACAAGCTTATCTATGATTTTCGTGAACGGTTTCTACCGAAGGAATTCTTTATAGAGGAATGTAAGCTCGGTTTTAGATGTGTCGATGCGTTTGGAATGCGACGAAAGTGCTGGTTAAGTGGGGTCAGTTGTTACTGGTCGTAACTCGGTTATTACTCGGTTTATCGGTGTGCTGGTATCTCGAATGGGTGGAGATACTACTCCTGAATTTTAAAAATTTAAGTATCACGTATCTGAAAAATGCATAAATTAATTTTTTTATATCCGCAACACAATATAGCGAAGGGTTAACGACTGATTTTATGATGAAAAATGTTATCCTTCTTATTTTCAAAATTCAATTTCAGGATCCTCTATGTTAGAGCTGTCGTACACCATATCGATCCCTGTAACGTAGACAGAAGGCATGATATAACCCATATGGTGTTCGTTGAAAGGGAACCGTGGGGGAGGTTCAAATTGGAAATTGGAAAACAAGGGTACACGGGTGTAATACATCTTTACGAAGAAATTACTCGTAATGTTCTTGTTACGGATTCCTACAGCTGAGCCAGATGCGTGTTGCCACATCTTTTATTTACACGATTACAGCGTCATACAGGAAAAATACATTAGAAGCAACTAGCTTTGTGTTGCAATTTATTTTGCAATTCTTTTTACGTTTATCTTGATAAACAGACGTCAATAATACTTTAGTTGTTCGTTATATCGCCGGTCCAGAAGAAATTAAGGCCTAGAGTTCGAGGGGTTATTTATTCCTCCGGATCGTATGCTGTTATTGTTATAATTTTTTTTTTCTTTTTTGTCCAGGGCATCTGTCCAGGAAATCGATTGAGACTTCTGGTTGGCCAATACGATACAGGGGGTTGTTTAGTTGGCAGTAGGGCTGATCTAACCACTTCTGAAGACGGTATACAGAGGCATGGAAAACGACGTAGCTGGCACGTTCAACCGAACAGGGTGAGTTATTTGAAAAATGATCCTATTATTATATTCATAGAGCACATAACATTTCCGTAATATGTGTACCGAAAATATTAAATATAGGTATGTACATCAGTTTATTCTCTGCAAGGCAACTCGACAGACCCACAGGGGCTTACTTTTGACCCATAATTTTTTTTATGTTAATCGATAAATAAGAAATTCTTGTTCTAATCTGTCTCGTTATTTTTCCTCCGACGATATCACGACACGATCTATTGTCTTTGGATCACGTATTTTATTAGGCATCTGCCATCTCGTATTAATTTATTCAGGATTTGTAAAAACGTAGAAATTCATGAAGTCCACCCCTGTTTCGACGCTGTCCCATCGATCGACTTTATACGTGAAATGCGGTACAAACTCACAATGGCGTCGGCAGTCGGCTCCATTGTATTGGCCGCCAGACCCCCATTGCACCCCCTTATGTCGGCGCTGATTCTCATAGAGACAGGATCTGTCAAAATCAGCTGACTACCAATTCGTTTTCTCTGCTCTCCGAGCCACTGCTGCTACGTGTCTGCCATTGGCATCGCTTAGCATCTGTCATCCAGGACGATTTGGTGAAATGAATACCCTGTGGCGATCGATTAACCATGCTTCGTCTATAAGTCACTATCGAGCATAATTTCCATTTAGACGAACAAAATTTCCTATATTTTCTTGCTAAATCCCAGCACGGTAAGAGGAGACTGTTTATACTGGCGAAAATCCTCCATTATTTCACGGTTCTCGAAATCACTGAATTTCATTCCCGTTAATCCCGCAACGGTCTCGAATAAAGCATTGTTAAAATTTCATCCGTTGAAGAGGACTTTTTACGGTGGTTACGTCATCCGCCAACATTTGTATGCGTTTTTCAACCAGCTGAATTTCCGATTGTAATCCTTGAAGGCTCTATCCGCGGGCCCGACAGCCATAACTCAGCCCCGTTCTTTTATGCGCCGTACGTTTCGGTAGGAAAAAAGTACATAGAGAGGAAGGAAAGAAGAACGAAACAAAAGAGACGCCTTCAAAAGCAAACATTTGTTATTCAAATACCGATACAAATAGCTACACGGCGAATGTCAAAAGTTGCACGCAACGCCGGTAAATAATAAAATGTTCTCGCGACACTTTATTATAGGATTTCATTTTAAGCCCATAAATATGTGCCTAATTTAAAAAATATATTGACACGAAGAAAAGGTACTCTTGAAACAGTGAAGACATCGAACGTCTTATGGATCATCAATGATCCAAGGGGGTACGGTAATATATATATTAATCTTTAGTCTTTAATTAAGGAGATATTTTCTTTAATTAAAGATTTGTATTCGGTCATTAAAATTTCAAGTTCCAAGTTTATTTTAATTTTTAAATTATCAAGAACGTCCAATAAATCACAGACACCATCACCGTACATGAAAATGCAAATAGCCTGGAAGTAACTTTCTTTCCTTCCTTTTCTTGGTTCGTTTTCCGGTACAAGAACCAGAGAACAAGATATAGATTCGTAAATTGGAGTTTCTTGCCAGAGTTGGTCTTTCTTCGAGTTCTTCTTGTTCATCCTCTTGTCGGTGTGTGCTTTTTGCCCGACAGCAAAGATCCGGAGGAGAACGTCGCCATGCCCGCATGTGCGTCGCCGCTCGACAGAAATACGACCTAAAGGTCAACGTTACGCGGACGAGCTTCCTCAAAATTGCCTCGTCACGAGGGAATTACTCAGGTTCAGGTACTCGCAGGTGCCCATGGTCATGCCGCGAAACGGACATAGCGGTATTTTTCTTATTTTTGTTCACTGATGCTCGCTTCACGATTTCTTACACGCTTCTTGAAACGCGTGCGGGTCATTCTTGTATCTGGCGCGAAGTCTACCTCCTCCTTCGCGAGATTAAAACGTACACAGAGCGACCAATAATTTCATGCTTGTTTTAAACTATCTAATTTCTGCATTATTACAGCTTTTTCTTAAGTTAGATAACTTTCATCTGAAACGTTTGAAATAACGCGTACCGAGAGGTTCCACGCGAGAATAGAATAAACGAATTTCTCTGATGGTTGTTTTTTTCTCAGTAACATACCGTTGCACCCTTCGGAACGATTTACGAGAAACCTATCCTACAGGATACCCTACATGGAGCTTCCCTTGTCTCGTTCACCGTGTAAAGATCACCGGTATCCTTATATGTCCGTAAGTCCAGACAATATCCACTCTCCGTCGCCACTTCTACCTCCTCTTTCTTTCATTTCTCTTTCCCTCTCGTTTATGCTCCGTTCGAATACAAGGATACTATGCACTACGATCGAACGTTTAATTAGAAGTAAAGAATTTAACACAGATAATTTTAATTTAACACGTTAAATGCCGTGGGAATCAGTGGTCGGCATTAAAAATTAAATATAATAGAATGATTAGAAAATAATAACAAAATATTATTTTAAATAGCATTACTGTCATACTAATATTAAATTTAAACACTTACATCTGACAATGAGTAATAAAGTTTTCTTCTTCTCTCTACATACATCGCCATTTTCCTTAGAGGAAACATCTATGCTCCGTACTGTACTTGGAGCCATCAGCGAGAAATTAAATATACTCGCTATTTCTCCAGAGTATTTGCTTCAAATTTGTTTACCGTCCCCACCGCATTCTCTTCCGAGTTACTTTGGTGTTGCTTCATAATCGCACGGCGAAACACCCGCACACGTTCCATCGCAAGAGAACACAAAGTGGGGTCCCTGGAGTCATCTCGATGGAATGTGTGCAGGGCGGTTTAGCTCAAAGAAGGGCGGACGCGTTTCATCACGTGTACACATCCACAGTCCAGACTCTCTCTGTCTTTATCTTATGCTTTTTCTAACCGTTCCCTATATCTGTCTTTATTGACTTCCTTCCTTCTAGGAAAATCTTGATGTCTCTTCTTTTATCGCCGTCTGAAAATCTTGCTCGCTTCTTACCCTTTCTACTTTGCGTTCTTACAGTCGAGGTTTCGTCGCTTTTCTCGTTTTCTATTGAACGCCTTCAAACACCCTTTCTTCATTTCTCTCAAGTGTACCTTCTTTTTTCGAGGCTCTTCGAGTCGAACGCAAAGAATCATATTATTTATTTCGTAGAATTTGTTAAATTAACATATTTAAAATAATTTGGAAATCATCTACCCTATCAAATTGTTGATAACTTATATTTTTCCTTAGAAGCAGAGATATCTTTGATTTCAATTTTTTTCATCATTTTCCTTTTTCTCTGCAACTTCTTTTTCCACTTGTCCCTTCATATTCTTGTAAAAATAGAAACAGAGACTGTACATATATCTGTCTCGTAGTCTTCCGTATTCTTTTTCTCTTGTTTCGCGGTCCTTTCATCCCCGCGCTTTTCTCCCTTTTTTTCTCGATTTTTTTCTCCACCCTTATATTTCCCTCTTCACTTTTTTTCCTTCCTATTCTGCCTGTTGATTCTCTTGCGTTTCCTCTACGCTTCGTTTCCTCTCCTTTCTTGTGCGACGAGGTAAAATAAAAGGACAATGTTTAGAGCTTAAAGAGCATTAATTAGACGGAATCAAGAGATGAATTAACTGTCTAATTAAGAGGGTTGTAATTTACGTGATGGTCAGAGGAAGAATGCAATAATGTACCCACACTTTTTAAATAGTCTATTGTGTATTTTTTAAACATTTATAATTATAAATTCTGCTTCGTATAATATTTAAAAAATTCAATTTTACACAGTGTTTCGTTAAATAAATTGGTCGAACTTTTAATGTTCACAAATTGGCCATTTAATATTTAACAACTTTCAATCTTGTACAAACTTTTGATTCTCATTAAAGTAGCTTTAATAGCATAGTCGTAAAAGCCAGGTGGAATGAAAGGTACAATAGAAAAGAAATATGTACACGGTAAAGCATGTTAACAAGTAGAAGTCAGAAAGAAGGAGGGTTTTGTTGTGTCGCACGGATATTGTGCTTGGTTGAGTATAAGCATGGGGAAGCAAGAGGAGAAACCAGGAGTATTCACGATGTAGGCGAAAGTGGCTTCGTGCTCCGGCGACGTTAAATAGAATAACCAGATCGTGGCTGGTTCGGCTCCCTCGGTCAGTAACGACCAGTAACGTACGCTAACTTCTCGTATTAAATTTACTTTCGAACAGTACAACCCGTTGACGTCCTTCCATTCGGCTTCCACTGCGAGCTGCAGCTTCTGTTGCCAGCAAACGTATTGCAGGAACTAAAGGTACAGGAAACTGTTCAATACGTTCTCTACCGTTTCGTTCATCTATGAAATCCCGTCATCCGTATTATAAAGAATCTTGTGAAAATTCAGAAAAAAATGTTAGCATAGGATTGGGAACCTCTGCTCTGTCTAATCTCTTATATAACAATTCCTCCTTCCCCTCCTAAACATCAAGTCTTTAAACGTGCGTGGGACACGTCTCGCCGGAAACCACCCTCGAAATCCTCACCCTTGACGCCGTAATTATTCCGTCACGCCCCTGATTCCATCCCGCGTGAATCGAGAAAAGAAATTCCCAGTGGAAAGGAAACTGTCCCGATCACCGGATGAACCGTCGTGTTCCGGACACATCCGACAATCGAGCAAGAGCTCTTCCGTTGGTTAACGAGAAGGATTCGTCGCCCGGGGTGACGGGATCTCGAAACCGTCACTGCGCGTCGGTCGAGCGTGCAAACTGCCGTTGCATCGACTGAAAATGGCATAGGAAAAGGAACAGGGAGAGGAAAATCTAGAGAAAGAGAAATAAAGGGGTGGAGAGCTAGAGAGAGGAGGCTGGGCGTGGGCTGAGCTCTTTAATGGCCCGTATCAATGAACTGCGAAACTTGTTCGCGTGGGATTATACTCGCTTGGTAGTAGCGCGATATCCGAGCGGTGCTGGATTGATCGGAATGGATCGGTTCAGAGAGGTGGAAGATGGTTATCGCAGAGAAACGGAGTTTTACCGAGGGCCTCGAACGTGACGTGTAATTGGTATCGCTTCG